AATTCGTGGTTGAGACAGATTACTCTGTCGGAATCGAATCTGGCACCTTCGGAGGTCGAAGCCGACAACATGTGCATATCGTAGAATGCAAACTAACTCAAAAGTTTATTATTAATAACATTCAATACAGCTCCTGTTCGCAAGTACGTTTTGGTACCATCAACAGCCACAACAGCTTAAACATGCCAACGAAAAAAATTACCAACGTTTATTATAAGAGGAGAATTGAATATTTGAAACGTTTAGAAACCATATGTTCATGACAGCGAAAATCGTTTAACCCTCAGATTACAAAGCTTTTAGGGCACCCCAATGATGAAGATTGAAAAAGAAGGTAAGAAATCATCTTAACAAAGCCTCTGATTGAAGCTGCAAATATGAGCGTGAGCTTCACGCCGCAAACCTCACGATGACTCATCTTCAAAAGGTTCAAAGGCAACTCGCTGCAAGCATATAAGTGAACTTGCATACGATAGATGCTCGACTTGACAGGGCTTGACTGGCATTTTCATTGGAAATAATGTGCATCGAAAAAAACGGAATGACCGTTGTCGCTGAACCTGCATTTCCCTTAGAGTTTGATGACTGAGCGCAATTTCAGTTTATGGTGAAGCGTTGATCTTCGTTTCTCCGTCAGCAGTCTACAGTATGTATTGTTCTAGTTTAATAACATGAAAATATTTACCATTTTATGATTAATATAGCTTTTAGCTTCATTTTTCCTTTCAACGAAGTGGCATTCAATTATCTAACTCAAAAAATGAAAGGCCAGTGACTTGACCAAGAGTGGAACCCGTGACCAACTGGCTACACATGAAAACTGTACAAATCCGTTGCTCAAAAAAATTGTAGTCAGTAAAAAATATTTCCCACCTTGCTAACTTGCATCATTCACTTTCCATATATGAGGTTGGAGAACGACTTTCTTGAGTCATTGCTCTCCTGAGTGCAAGTACGTGTATTATAACGGCCGCAGTTGTGCCATGCAACATGGAGAAACAAGGTAGAGGCAGATCCACTTTCGAAGAGGAAGATTTCCTCTCCAATGCAGTAAGCGATGTGTCATAGCAAAAGCGCTGCAAAACGGCGAACGCAATGGATATTGCAAGCTTCACACGTCCTGTTTACGCAAACATACAATCGTAAATGGCGACTGGTAGGTCGCAGTGCACAACTGACACCATATTCCTAGTGCAGGTAGTCATACCGGTAGCGAGGGGATGTTGCTGCCATTCATTTCCGTTTGCCATTGATGGTGTTCTGTGGAAACAACAGCAGTACGTTGCTTTCGTTTCATATCATTCCAGACTTCTGCACTTCGCGCATAGCGACGACATGATGATGTTGATGCTCAGGTCTAATTTCGAAAGCCAGGCGTCGGAGCCGGTTGACAGTGCCTTTAACGCCGTCATTCTTCTTTCCGTCTTTTCTGCTGATGATATGGTGGAGTGTCTGATGGGATATTTGCAATCATTCGCAGGATTCTCTTGGTAACGCCGCCTGTCGAGGTGGCGTTTTTTTTAAAATTCATTGTGCAACATGCCCAAATCGGTTTGCTAGAGAAATGTTTCCTCGGAGAACGAACCTATCGTTCCGTGGGTGACAATTTATGACCATGCAGACACTGTGGCAGAAGCCCGGAATTATACTAAGGAATACAGGAGCAACATAAAAAATGCAGCGAAATGATTATCAATGAATTGTGATATGATCATAGGAGTGATTTAAATGGTATGTAAGTTATGGTGGAGCAAATCATTCTGGCTCTAATATGACATACACAAAGGCACACTATTTAACGGTTAATCTTCTAAGCCACCGTAGAAATCGATTCTCCACGCTACAGAGCCATTACTTGGGCTGATACTGTTTGAAAAACGACAATTCTACATTTGATTTATGAAAGATTGCACAAACTTTTGATGGTAATTTCCGAGGTGAACGGGCTGATTCCGGCAGTGTTGACCGCAGCGACACGAACGCTGTAGGAAGGACACAAATTTGGCTTGTTGAAATGGTAATACGATTCCACCGTCTCCTGAAAATTATGATTTGCATAAGTAACCTTGGTGAAATGATCATAATTCATACGTGTGAATTTGCGTAATGATTCCAGGAACTGAAAACGTCGTCATCGTCTTTGTACTGCACAAAGTAAAACACAGCCTCGGGAACCGGATCCCATCGAAAGGTGACCACGTATGGGTCGTCTTCGTTGATCACCTGAAAACCCGAAGGAACTGGTGGGGGTTCTAGAAACAGGACATGTTAAACGTGTGCTGCTTTTAAGTAAGGACAACACAACTTTTCACGATGCGCCTTGAATCACAGATCTCCAGATTTTTCCAACACTTTTTATTGTATGTTTCCTGAAGACAAAAAAATCGATTAACATTTTTCGTCAAGTGGTCTGCACTTGGCATACTTACGCAACGGTTACTGAAATCATAAATGCCGTACTGTTCTTTGCAAGCGTCCAGTCCCTTCGATGCCTGCAAGAGATCAGACTGAATAGCTGAACAATGATAAAATGATAATAGCTTAATTTGCAAATTAATTGGTATATTTAATTTAGACTTGGATTTAGTTACAGACAATTTGTTTTTTTAGGCCATAACCTCAAGCAATTTGCATAAGCAGAACGCCTGGTGTGGTTTGTGATGTCAGCTGTATTTACAGTTTGCGACACTTTTGCTATAACACATTGGTTACTGTGTCATAGAAAGAAACACCCCTCTGTGACATAGATCTGTCTCTACTTTGCCCTCTATGTTGCATTATGCCCCGCTGGTCGATGTCTGCCGTATTTTGGCTCTCACATGAGAAGCTCTTGAACTGGACCAAATGACTTGCACTCTACCAGTATGTATAACAGGGTAAACCTATGTTTCTCCATCCTCACATCTACTGAGATAATGAGTAGCCAGAAGAGTCATTCCTCACATAGTCCTGCCAGCCAACCCTCGTTCTGTGTCGAAGCCAACTCCGCTGTACGCAGTTCAGCCACATCGTTTCGACCAGGACTTCTTGCCCCTTCGGTAGAAAAACTGTTTTCGCCATGACGCACAACAACATTGACCTGAAAGAAGCAAGCCAGCATGCCAGGCGGATTTTGGTGGAAGGAGATGTTCTTTTCTCAGAGGAAGTATGTCACAGGTATTTAAAAGCAGTTCAGTTTAGGGCGATGCTCTTATTTGACTCTGATTGAATGTTGCCCTGAAGGTGAAGGAAGTGAGACCTTCGAGCTCTTAACCTTATGCTATCGACTACATTACAGAACTCTCTTTCGTTAAGAATATAATCAGATAGAAAACACAGCTGATAACTTCTGCAGAATTTGTGAAAACGAATGGAAGTTACCCACCAAAATTACTACTTTTTACAGTAGAAAAATATCCTGGATTTGCTGGACCTCTGAAATTAAGAAAAGATACGCCCCTGAACGAATCTAGTATGATAAAATACACCCGACAGTTTCTAAAAACTGCGCAGATTCAGACTTGAGGATTATTTCGTTGAAGAATTAATTCTATGTCCTCGCGATTGGTCCCAGTAGTAGTTTTAAAATTATGGGTAAATAGACGATCAGCGCTGACACTGGCCGCCGCAAAGGCCGCATTCTGTTCCCTCTCCTGTTTGTGTCGTACATGGATAGAACAGTCAAAAGCAGTTAGGATGATGAGAGTATTAGCGAAGGAATTGTCGAAACAAGAAGGTTGCTATTTGCAGACGAACTCCTTTCATTGGGATGTTCTGAAACTGATCTACAGCTCAGGAAAGGTGTGCAACCGAGTGCGACGTGGCTGGCATGTGTGCGCACGTATTCAATACGAAAATCATAATGCTTTCTCGCTCCCATGCCTGTTGCTCTCTTCAGATTAACGGAAAGGCAGTGCAGCAGGTGGAGAAGTTCAAGTACCTCGGAACTGTATTTACTAGTGATGGAAAATTGGAGGAAGAGATCGA